GTGATAGACACCCCAGAAAATCAGTGAAGGCAGTTGGTTTTGATATCTGAGCAGAGCCTACCTGAAGCACATTGCTGGTCCAGATTTCCAAAACCAGGAAAGGTTAAACCCAGGCAAACTAAAGAGAAGCTTGTGTTTTCTTCCTTTCCTCTGCCCCACTTGTATTCCTCAAGGGTGTGTAGCAGAAGTGTAGTAGCAGTATAGCTTTTGAATACATAGACTCTACAAGCCCTCTGTGCTGCCATAGTTTCACCAAGCAACTGTTAGTAAGAAGTTCACTTCTAGGAAAGCAAACTTAAGGAATGCCATAAGACTGACTGTGCCAAGAAAAGTTTACCCCTGCTTATAGATTTTTCTTCCTCAGAGAACCTTGTATTTGATTCATCTCATTAGGGAAATCTGGATAGTATGCATACCTAAAAACTGCTTATTTGAGAACATGCCTTCTGTTTATAATTGCAATTTCAAGAAGTAGCCTTCAACTATTTTCACCTTAAGAACATTAGAAAGGATGCATTGACTTAGGAATCAATGAAACTTTATATAATAGGAAATTCGTTCCCATTCTCGGGTTTTGGCTTTGATTTCATGTTAGGTGTAATGTGCAAATTTGCTAAAAAGTCTCCTTTTTTTTTTCAAAGTTTGAGAACATTATCTTTAATCACTAGATGTTTTGTCTCACTCTTTATCTTCTGGAAAAGTTTTCTGCTATCATTTAATTCAAATTATCAAGGCTGTTGTGTTTTTTTCTCAAATGTTTGTAGCTATATTCAGAAAATGTGCAAACTTGCTAATCTGAACTACTGAACAATGGGGCCAACCTGAATTTGAAAATTTTGAAATTAAAGCCTATTTCAAATAAATATCATCTTATGGCCTTCAAGTTCTTATAAGAATGACCAGTTTCTTTTTTATTTTTTTTTCTTTTAACGTATTTTTGTTGATTTCAGAGAGAGGAAGGGAGAGGGAAAGAGAGATAGAAACATCGATGATGAGGAAGACATCAATTGGCTGCCTCCTGCACATCCTCTATTGGGGATGAAGCCCGCAACTCGGGCATGTGCCCTGACCAAGAATGGAATCAGGAACCTCCTGGTACATAGATCAATGCTCAACCCCTGAGTCACACTGGCCAGGCAGAATGAGCAGTTTCTAAGAAACTGTTACCAAGTAGAGATCTTACTTTCTTTTTAAAAAGCAATTTTAATTAGCATCGTTTTAGGCAAACCAATGCTATAGACATGCTTTAAAGCAGTAGATTCAGTTAAATTGGCTATAAACATCCCCACCTCAATTAGTTTTACCTTTTTAATTTACACAGCAAAACCCTTCTTCATAAACAGTGCCAATTCCTCTCAGACCAAATTATTGTAAAATCTGATTAACGAGATTTCAATGCTTTTCTCTCAAGCCATTTTATTTTCCTTTAAGAGTATTTGTAATGGGAGAGGGACTCTCAGAGGAATTATTTGGGAGTAGGAAAATGAAAGTGTATCTTGTTCTGAAAGCCTTTTGGAAATTTCCTAACACCTATTATAGTTCTAGCAAGGTAATTGCCCTTCTCTTGACAGTGATGGAAATTACAACCTAGCCAAATTTCAACTAGCAGGGATATTTCTGCAAATGTAGAATTTGGCCCTGTAGGTTCAACAAAGCCAAGTAAGCATAACAAGTCAACAAGATAGGCCAATAATTTTCACAAGTATACTACTTGCCAGCAAGGTAATACCTGGGATAATTGAACAAAATTAGACCTTACAGAATTTTAGAATTTGTAGATCATCTACCTACACAAATACCATAAGATGATATACATGAAGTCTAGAGATTTTTTTAATGACTTGCCAATTGCTGTTCACACAGTCACTAGGCTGAGAAGTCAAGACTCGACTGTAGTTCTCCTGAGTCTCACAGGAGAGCTGTTTGCACTAACCCATGGTGTTCATAGCTAAAACCAAAGACCATCTACATCAGGGCTCACAAAACTGCACCCTGTTTTTGTACTGCCTGCAAATTATAAATAATTTTTATAGTGGTAAGTAGCTTAAGAATAAAAATAAGAACAAGCCCTGGCCGGTTTAGTTCAGTGGTTAGAGCGTCTGCCTGCGGTCCTGAGACACCCGGGTTCAGTTCCCGCTAAGGGCACGTACCTCGGTTGCAGCTTGTCCCCGGCCCTGGTCGGTTGTGCGGGTGGCAGCCACTCGATGTGTTCCTTTCACATCAATGTTTCTCTCTCTCTCTGTTCCTCTCTCTCCCTCCCACTCTACCTGAGCAAAAAATGGAAAAATATCCTCGGGTGAGGATAAAAATAAATAAATAAATAAGAACAATATTTTGCAACATGTGAAATTATATGGAATTAAAATTTTAGTATCCATACATAAAGTTTTATTAGAACACAGCCACACCCATTCCTTTGTGTACTGTCTGTGGCTGCTTTGACTTTAAAACAGCAACGTTGAATTATTGCAACAGTGACCACATGGCCCACAGAGCCCAAGATGTTTTGCATCTGAACAATGCTGAGAGGCAGGGAGAGGAGGGCGTCGGGAGGAGGGTGTCAATATGGGGAAAAGGAGAAACATCTGTAACAAAAATAAATTAATTAATGAAAATGCATAAATTAAAAAAATATATATTTTGTGTCTGATCCTGTAGAAAAAGTTTGCTGATATAGACAAGTACTCGCTATCATAGCAATTCAGGAAGAAGAATTCTGTAGATTTAATACCATTTTTAGATTTTTAAATCCTCTGCATATCAGCACACATCAAACTTCAGTCTCTTTTACTTTATTTAGACTAAAAATCTGGTCCCATTCAAATATACTAAGGATACATATTAACTTTCATGGACATAGGCACCTGGGTATATCCTTGAAAGCCACTGCTATCAACTTGTGGAAGACCAAAGACATTGTCCATGTCTTCTCTAACTTCCCACATTCAGACAATTATCTGTGGGAATAGGAACATTTGGAATGGCAAAAGTACTACATGACAGAAATGTGATGCTTACCTATTTATTCTGTATCCTCTTTATAATGCAAAAGAGTTAGATGGTGATATAATCAAAACTATTTTTTTTATTATTTTACCATTTGTGTTTCTTCTAATACACAGGGCATAAGCTAGATAAGACTTTGCACCTGGTTTTGACTAGCAGATTTAAGAAGATTTGAGTTGCAGAGGCAAAGAATTTATCCAGGCTTCTTCTCCCCCACCCCTACATATTTAATGTGTCTTTCTTACTCCTTCAGGGCAATCACCCATTTATATTTTCTTGAAGTTTATACCAGGTGGATACCCTTTGTACTGGGAGTATATTTTAGTAAGCCAAGAAGGAATAAGATAAGCTCTACAATAAAAAATGGGGACTGAAAGGCTACACAGGAGCCTAGAAATTTCCATCCATGCTACCAGGTAGAATTTACCCATTTTTCATACACCATGTCCAAACTTAATTCTCTGCTGTTTCATGGAAGTAAAATAGAGAATTGATCATGGAAACACAACTAAGTGTTGACAAGGTCCTTAGTGTTTAATCTAACTTCCTTTTACAAAAGAACAAACCAAAGTCCAAAAAGTCTCAATAACTTTCCCCAGTTCACACAGCTAATGAATGAAAAGGCCAGATGCTCCACAAACTCAGGTGTGCAAGAAGTGTTCAAGTTGTTTTGTGGGATTTGTTTTTGTTTTGTTTTTTCTTTATTGATATTTAGAGAGAGAGGTAGGGAGAGAGAGATAGAAACATCAATTGGCCGCCTCCTGCATACCCTGCACTGGGGATCGGGCCCACAACCTGGGCATGTGCCCTGACAGGGAATTGAACCGGTGTCCTCTTGGGTCAATGCTCAACCACTGAGCCACACCAGCGTGGCAAAGTTGTTTTTTAAACAAGTTAAATTTAACTCTAAGCCCAAATTTAGCTGTTCTAGTTTTAGTCTAGGTAGAGAGCAAATTTTCTAGGATATCATGTAGCTCCCAAACATCAAGGATATCTCCCTGGTCTTTGGTCTCCTGTTGACAGGTCCACTATTTCAGTGAGCACAATTCCTGTGGTCCAGCAGTCCAGGTATTTTTGTCCCATGCTGAGGACTGGGGCATGGCTAGTGTTGATATAAAGTCCATTGTCCAGCATTCAAGTTAATCTTATGCACCTTGCAGCTGTCCCCAGGCAGTGGCCTCCAAGAAATATACATGGATCCATTAACTTCAGGCTTGATCTAATAACCCTTACCCTCTCTGTTTCTCCGTTACCCTAATTTCTCTCCTTTGAGTAAACTTAGTGTAACTTAAATTTAGTACATTCCAAACTTTCAATAAATTATAAGTAGAGTTATTAGTATTTATACAAGTCATGGGAACTGTTTACATAAAAGTGTGGGGAACCTCTGAGTGGTTACAATTTAATTGATTATTTGTGGGATGTAGGGTACAGAGAGAAGGAAATTGTGGCATTTTTTTTTTTTGGTAATTTTTATTGCATTTAAGGTATTTATACAGTTCAATGGATTTTCACAAAGCAGACATAACTATGTAACTAGCACCCAAATCTAGAACTAACACATTTAAAGCTCAAAACTCTTCTCATGCTCCCAGCAAAAGATATCACCATCTTGATTTCCAACACTATAGGTTAGTTTTATGTTTGTAAATTTTATATAAATGGACTCATACAACCTGTATGAGTATATTAGCATCTGACTTCTTTCACTCAATCACAAATTTGTGAGAATGTTTTATGTTTTTGTGTGGGGCTATAATTTGTTCTTTTTCATTGCTGTGTTAAATTCCATTGTATAGATAGGCCCACAATGCATCTATCCATTCTACAGTAGATGAACATTTAGGTTGTTTCTATATTGGGACTGTAGCAAATATACCTGCCATGAATACTCTTATCTATGTATTTTGGTGACGGGTGTGTACTGAAATTTGAATTTTCATTCTTGGATTTGTTGAAAAGAAGATCCACTCATCCTATTATTTAATGTACAGGAACCTTGAATAAGCATAAAGAGTTGGAGGACCTTGTGGCTAAGTTCCTGAATGTAGAAGCAGCCATGGTCTTTGGGATGGGATTTGCAACTAACTCAATGAATATCCCTGCACTAGTTGGAAAGGTGAGAATTTGTTAACATAATTTTCTTCTGTTGTATTATTCCTAAGAATTATAACTCTGAGAAAGCTCTTTGTTAGAGCTTTGTATGGCTCAGTAGGGCCTTTTCTGAGGAAAAGCTTATTGGATGTCCAGCTTTTTAAATAAATGTACCTGCTTAGTCCAGCAAATCTCTTCATCATAATATTCTGGTTATAACATTTCAGCCCGAGATGTGAGTCAAATTTTATCTTCCATGATGGCTTAGCAAAATCAATTAAATATTTAGGCTCCCAAGTCACTATCTGTAATGTAGCCAACACTTATTAAGCATTTATTTTAATAAAACATTTTGCTTGTACCATTAATTAATTTATTCATTCATTCAATAAATCCCTGCTTAAGAATCTACTATGTCCTATTGTGGGGCAAGACACAGAATATACAAAAATGAACAACATTTGTGCCTTGTAAATTTTTGTAGTTTACATTCTAATGAGAGAAAAGCACACCAAATAAAATAGGATAACTACCATAGAAAAGGCATGCATATACAAGGGGGAGGACAAAAAAAAATGATGCTTAAACTCTTCTTGAGAAAGCCCGTGCAAAGTGGGTGACATGAGAACTGAATCTTTTACATATGTCTTAAGATATATTATGTATTTTCTTAAGACAAGGAAGAGAAAGAAAGCATGTTTAAAGCCCTAGGTTTGGAAGAATTAGAGTATAGGATAGTGGATAAAGAAAAGACTAGAGATGAAGGCCGTGGCCAAATTGCAGAGTGTTGCAGTGTAAATCACGCTGGTGTCTGAAATTTTTCTGAGAAAAATGGGAAGTTAGTTGGTTCATTTTAAGTAAAAGCAAGTACCCTAACCAGATTTGTGCTTTTTTTTTTTTTTTTTTAATTTTTAAATCGGGCTCATGACAACTAAATGTAATGTATGCTCTTTGATTGGAGTATGCATTTAAAAAAATAGAAAGAAAACACCTTTAAAAGACATTAAGACATTATTAGGACAGTTAGGGAAATCATCATTTGAGCTATATATTAGATTATGGTATTATAATATATTTAATTTTTTGGTGTGATCATTGCATTGTGATTTTGTAGGAGAATATTCTTGTTAACAAATACATGCTGAAGAACTTCAGGCTGAAGTAGCATGAGGTTTATAAGTAATTCTCAAATGTTCACCAAAAAAAATAATAATAAGTACACACAAATCTGGAATATAGCGTATAGAAATGTTGCTGGCTCCTGCTCAAGAACTTAAAACATGTGATGTATGAAACTTCCAAAGTATAAGGAAGAGCTCATAGATTCTGGGTGGCCATGGAAGACAATGACTAAAGATATAATCCCTTAAACCAATCCCCCAAATTATACCACCATAATTTGTCTCTGCATTTATGGTGTTTGAACAATTTCATTATTTAAAAATTTTTTTAATTAAAAAAGAAAAATAATTTTACAAGTTGTAATTTGTAAGCAGTAACTTAGATTGGGCTTCTCCACAGGCCTCAGACTGAATTGCCATTCATACTTTTCCAAATGCAATGTTTTAACTGTAAAGTAGTGATGCTCTCGTTACATGGATATCAATGGAGTGAAGATGATAAAGAAAAGACTCCTGCCTTTCAGAAGGAACACATCAAATAATCCAACATGGGATTGAAGGGCCCCAGCAAGTCCACAACTCACCCAAAAGCATATTAGTTTTCCTGTCAAACATAAATTCTTTATATGATAGCTGTTGCTTAACCAAGTGCTTCAGTGACCTTTTCGGGTGAAAATTACATGCAAATTACTAAAGATATAACCCCTTAAACCAATCCCCATCTCTATCTAATTGTTGTATGGCATTATATTCACATTGACACCAGTTTAAACTTCTGGGCTTTTAAAATTAAAGTGGGTTTGTAGATCTGTTTCAAGTCTTGAAGTGTCTTCTTGTTCCCACATGTTGTTTTTCCTTAATTTTATTTATTGACCTGCATTTTATGTGCTTGTTTTCTAAACAGGGATGCCTCATTTTAAGTGATGAGTTAAACCATGCATCTCTTGTGCTTGGGGCCCGACTCTCAAGTGCAACCATAAGGATCTTCAAACACAACAGTGAGTATCACTATATTTATCCAACACGTATCACTTGCTTCTAGAAGAAAGTAAAAATGATTGATGGGGTTTTGTCTTTGCTCTTTAAACTGGGAGTTTAGCGTTATGTAACACAATTATGTTTGTATTCACTACTGGCTCGTCAACCTCTGCTGACCCAGAACAAATGGTTGAAGTGTATTAAACACTCAGAGTGTTAAGTGCAACCCAAACACATTAGTGTCACTGTTATTAGTGGTCTTGCAATATGGCCTCTAAAGACATGACTGACTTCTTAGGACTACCATTTAGTTGTCAGAAGTGTTATAACTCTTCCTTTTCTATTATTCCACCTTGGAAAAATTTGAAGATTTATTTAATTTGTATGTTATAGTAGGGTAAAAAGTGATCTTCCTTGACATAATGCTTCCTTTCACTATTCCCATCCGCCACATGTTCAGACACCCCCCACATACAAAGTCTACCCAACTTTGTTGAAATGCTCTTTCAGGCTCTGTAGTCGGGTGATGATGATGAGGAGGAGGCTATTTATTCTTGTAGACTTGATGTGGCAGCATGGGAAATATTAGGAAATACTTAAAAGAAGATGGTCGGGAACACCTTCGTTCTCTTGTCCAGTTGTGCCCCTGACTCATTGCATCACCTTCTATAAATCCTTTATGTACTCGGTCTTCTCACCTATAAAATAAGGGTGTTGAACTATCTTGTGTGCAAGGATCCTCCAGGTGCAGTTTCTAATTCTCCATTACTATTATAGAAGCTTTTCTTTTTTTCTATGTGTGAACATGTGTGTGCACACACATACACACTCTTATTTTCTCTCTTCCTTTTTACCACCTTTCTCTCCTGCTTTCCCCTCCTCTCCAATTTTTTTTTATCCTTACCCAAGGATATATATATATATATATATTTTGCATTTATCTTCAGATAGAGTGGGAGGGAGATAGGGAGAAAGAGAGAGAGAGAGAAACATAGATGTGAGAGAGACATATCGAGTGGCTGCCACCCACATGACCCCAACCGGGGCCGGGGACAAACTACAACCAAGATACGTGCCCTTAGCAGGAACCAAACCCAGGACTCTCTGGTCCACAGGCCAATGCTCTAACTGCTAAGCCAAACCGGCCATGGCTCCTCTCCACTTTTTCTTTTCCCTCTTCCTTGGCATGACCTTCCATGCTCCAAGGAAGTAACAAAGACTGAAGTGAGGAGAAGAAAATAAATAGAGAACTAAGAAAGAATTGTTCTAGATGTTATGTTCACCTCACAGAAATATCAAACCAAAGAATAGTTGTCACATGGAAAGAAAAGTAAATGAATAGGAAAGTTCTAAAGTGAATCTCCTTTCTAACTTGTAATGAAAAATCTCCTTCTCTCAATAAGTGGGGTGACATCTGGCTATGTCTTTCCTGAACCACCTGCAGCAGCTATGTGAATATGAATACTCTAGAGTTGAATTCAGAACCAGACCCTCTGGAAGAAACAGACTTGAGGTCCCTCTGACATAGCTCAATTATAACAGCCAGCTCAATGTTATTTCAAAATATCTTGACTCCATTTCTTTATTTTCCATCAACCAATTAATCTTGGCTAGTCTCTGATAAGCCAAGTTATAATCTTCCAGTTCTGTTTCATTTACCATTGATTGTCACATCTAGACTCAAATTATTTTGAAAATATTCAGAATTCATGTTTGGAGTAGATATATTTTAGGGATTCAAGAAGTGAATTTATTATAAGGCCATAGAAAATGTCTCTGGTATTAACACAATTATGCTATACCCTTTTGATTTCTTGGCATGACCAGGGATTGGTGATCAAAGATTTTATTTACATGGGGAAGGATAAAGAATAGTTGACAATTATTCAACTGTAGTTCGATCCATAGATATGGTTAAACATAATAATCTCATTCCCAAAGGGAGACATAGTTGTTATCTATAAGGAACAAATAAACCAAATCATAATCAAGATTAAGCTCTCATTTTTGTATTCCACTTTACTTAGGGCAGGGGCTAATGACCCTAGTTGCACAACAGAGGTATCTAGGGATCATCTATTTAAAATCAATGACAGGATCCACTTCCAGATCAATAAAATCCAAATGTCTCAGTTGAGATCAAGGCAAGCTGAAGTTTTTCAGATCTCCCCTATGTGATTCTCATGCACAATGAGGACTATACACCTTAGAATTTTATTATCTAACCTCCTTTTGTTTAGGCTGACCCTGCATCTTGAGCCAGTGCACCCTGGGATATATCACCACACACACATTGTCATGTTGACTGTCCTCACACTCCCTTTCATCATGGCTAACACTCTTTTACACTCCTGGTCTAAAGTTCATAAAGGAGGTCAAAAAATGCAAAGAAAGTTTTTCAAGCCAAAATTTATTGAGTACTTATAAAACACCTATTCTGATTCAGGGACTATGCTTGGCCTTTGGAGGACTATAAAAATGATAAGGTGATATCTTAGCTATCTGAGGGTTTATAGTGTACTAGGAGAGACAGATATGTGTGAAAGTAACTATATTATTATTATTATTATTTTTTGAGATGATAGAACCAAACTCATTGGGTCATTTATAGTTTATTTATTTATTTTTTCCTGTTTTTTTTTTTTAATTAGTTTATTTGTTGTTACAGATGTTTCTCCTTTTTCCCCCACTGATTCTCCCCTTCCCCTCCCTCCCCACCTTTCCCCACCTTTGTTGTCCATGTCCACTGTTCATGCATACATGCATATAAGTTCTGTGGTTTATTTCTCCCCCCAACCCCCTCTTCAGGGGATTGTCAGTCTGTACCCCACTTCCATGTCTCTGGGACTACGCCGTTCCTCAGACTGTTATGTTTATTATATTCCACAAATAAGTGAGATCATGTGATATTTGTCTTTCTCTGCTTGGCTTGTTTCACTTAGGATAATACTTTCCAGGTCACTCCATGTCGTCTCAAAGGATAAGAGATCTTTCTTTCTTACAGCTGCATAGTACTTCATTGTGTATATGTACCACTGCTTTTTTATGCATTCATCAACTGATGGACACTTGGGCTGTTTCCAGATCTTAGCTATTGTAAATAGTGCTGCTACAAACATGGGGGTACATATATTCTTTCTGAATGGTGTTACAGGCTTCTTAGGGTATATTCCTAGAAGTGGGATCACTGGGTCAAATGGCAGTTCAATTTTTAATTTTTTGAAGTAGCACCATATTGTTTTCCATAGTGGTTGCACCAGTCTGCATTCTCACCAGCAGTAAACTAGAGTCCCCTTTACTCCACACCCTCGCCAACACTTGTTGTTTGACTATATTATTACTTAAGGCAAAAAAAAAAAAAGGCCATGTCAATATCAGGCTAAGAGTATAGGCTTTGGCCAATGCACCCATTAGATTATCTAAAATGAAAAAGATGACAACACCAAATGTTGGCAAAGATATGGAGCAACTAGAACTCTCATCCATTGCTGGGAAGTAAAATAGTGCAACTCTTTCAGGAAACTCTTCAGCAAAGTCTAATAAAGCTAAACATATCCCTGTACTATGAATTCAGAAATTCCATACCTTGGAATTGCCAAGGGAAGTGAAAGCATATGTTAACAAAAAGATTTGTGCAAGAACGTTCATAATAGCTCTATAATAACCCCAAACTGGAAACAATCAAACATCTATAATAGAATGGAGGGGGGTGTCTTTTTTATGCAATAGAATATGATTCGATAATAAAAAAAAAAAAAGAATAAACTACTGATACATAAAAAATGTGTGATTCTGAAGAAACATTTCTATAATAAAACAAACCAGACACAAACGAATATATATTGTATATATTTGCTTATAACAAATTCAAAAGCAAATTAAATTAATCTATGACAGTGGAAATCATAGCAACGCTTGCCTCTTATTGTAGGGGAGGAAATTAGTAAGAAGAGGCATAAAGAAAATATCTGCGGTAATAGAAATGTTTGATATGTTAATAGGAGTGCTGGTTATAATCTTATTAAAATTCATTGAGCATGAACTGGTTTGGCTCAGTAGATTGAGCATAAGCCTGTGGACCAAAGGGTTGCAGATTTCAACACCAATCAGAAAGAATATATGTACTCCCATGTTCATAGCAGCACAATTTACAATCACTAAGATCTGGAAACAGCCCAAGTATCCATCAGTAGATACAGAGGGCGTGTCTACCCTCCAGCTTAAAAGTTTTAGGTAAAAGCCCTCCAGGATGGCCACCAATAATCCCCCACCTCCTGATATTTATGCCCTTGTATAGTTCCCTCCTGCATTGTCTCAGAATTGGTTTGTGTGATCAAAAGAATACAGTAGAAGAGATGATGTATCATTCTGAAGATTATGTTTTAAAGACATATGGCTCTGCCTCTTTTTTGGATCACTTAGAAGGATATTCAGAAAGCTATGGAGAAGAACAGAGGCCTCTTGCCAATAACCATGGAGGAGGATACCTTGACTGATCTGACTAGCTCAAGCCAACATCTTGACTGAAGCCTCACAAGTTTCACTGGCCAGAATACCCAGCTAAAGTTCCCAAATTCCTGATTTGCAAAATCTGCAAGATAATCCATGTTTGCTGTTTTAAACCTCTAAATTCTGGGATAATTTGTTACATAACAATAGATACTTTATATACCTTTGCTGGGGCCGAAGCTGGATGCTCAAAGGTGACTTCCTCCTTCCTCCTTCTTGAATCTAGAATGAATAGCTCATTCTAAAATGAATGGCTCAGCAGAGCCTGAGTCCTTCAATCTAACTACTTCATCTACATGGTCACTGGCAAAGATAAAATAAGAGAAATTGGAAGACAAGCCATTCATGGTCCACCTGGGCACAAGAAACTCAGCAGCCTGCAGCACATAGGTCAGGAAGTGAAATAAGGTTTGTCTACTTCTTCTTGAGACAGTTTCCCATGGCCAACAGGGCCCAAGAATGTCAGGCTTTGAGCCACAATGTTAGAAACCCCTCTCTTTAGGGAGAGTGA